TGCAACTAGCCTGAACTGAACAACCAAAAATCATCCTTGGATCACACACATCTACCAGCTACTCTTCCACCAGCACCTCTGTGTGTGTGTGTGTGTGTGTGTGCGCGTGTGTGTACTCTGGTTTGGTGAATCACTGTGTCTATATAACTACCTCTACTTCCTATTGTTATCTGACTTCCTGCATCTTAGTGAACTCCATACACCCATTGTTCCCTACAGACAAAATACACACACACACACACACACAACATGGTCTTTATCTTTCCCACTCTCATGCTGATAATTGTCATATAACATGCGCGCGCGCACACACACACACACACACACACACACAAACACACAGTGTTGCTGCTTTAATATCAGGCACTCACACTTGCTTTTTTTTCAGTGTGATCCTAAATTAAAATCTGGAACAAATCATCTCCTGTGGAATATTAATATCTGTGAAACCGCAGCATTGTCAGCTCAGGTATAAAATCCAGGCTCATACACACACTCATCCACAGAGCAGCTATAGTGTATAGGATGAAATGTATAGTGCAAAGCCTGATGTCAGCTTCGGATCAGGTTTCTACCTGAGTCACCCCCTCAGAGGACACACCTGTGTTTGCTTTGTCAGAACGTGACGTTACGCTAACAAAAACCAATTCTTTTGCTTTCTCTTGCCCGTCAATTTAATGTTTTCCCCTTCTCTTTTTACACAAGTATACATAATTATATATTCCACGCTCCCAGATTGTTTTAGAATGACTCCAACTGGCAGCGCATGTCTTACAATGGCACTGCTTCATACATTGCCAAAAACCAGGATTGCATTCAGTGTGCAGATCCAGCAGAATATGGCTGTCATCTTACAGTTTCCTTTTATAACAAATGGGAACAAAATGCAGTGGTGGAGGGAAATTGAGGGCAACATACAGATGATTTTGGCCCCCGGGTTATACGTGCGGTGGAGGAGAGCTCGTTGCGTCTCATTGTGGTTAGTTAGCAATGTGGCGCAGACTGAAAGTACAGCTGTTTATAGATCCTGAAATGGAGGCAAAATGCAGAGCTGGCCCTATTCAACTCCCCCAAAATCACATAAAACACACACACACACACGCCCACACAGATAGGTCTGTGGGGTATTTGTGTGCGCATACACCACAAACAAAACCTGTGATTATACCCACTCAGACACACACACTGTAATTACATACAGTGACGCACTACTGTCCGCCATACCATGAATTCACACTTATAATATTGTGTCATAAATAAAACATGTCGAGGCACACAGGGTGATTATATATTACTCTTAAAGGTTAGGATAAACATAGATGATGAACATTTAAACGCTTACAGTGCACACCACTGAAAATAGACAAACAGCAGACTAGCAGCTCTGTCTGCAGCTACAGTGTGTCCTGGAGGTTGTTGTGTGTGTTGGGGACTTGTAAAAGGGGCCCCTGGGGTGGGCTCTGGTGCCGCCTTGGGGGTGGGGTGTGTGTGTATTTAAGTATGTGTGTGTGTTTTTCGGAGTCACGCTGAATTTGGGGGGCTAGCCTCGAGATAAGAAATGGAGTTTAAGATGAAAGGAAAATGGGGCGAGGACGGGGATACACTGGCAATGAGTTTGTGGATCCAGAGGGGGGAGGCGAAGGGAGGCAGACAGGGAGGGACAGATAGAGGGGGGGAGCCGGAGGAGAAAACTGTTTTGATGTTGATTTTTAGGTTGTTTATTTGACGTTATGTAACACCTTTGCTAATGTAGTTAGCACTCGTTTGTGTGTGTGTGTGTGTGTGTGTGTGTGTGTGTGTTTGGTAGCTTCTCACTTGGAGACGGGAATTTCTGTGAAAGGCAAAGGTTGCCCATAGCAACGGCCTTCATTGTAAAACTGATCCTTGGAATACGGCACACACACAGACACACACATTCGTACCATGCTCACACACTGAGGCGTCTTTTCAGTACTTTTAGGCACTTTCAGGGTTCGAGATCACCAGACCTTCCCACACACACACACACACACACACACACACACTCTCTCACACTCTCGCTCTCTTTCTCACGCACATTTACAGTCGAAGCGTGAAGCACACATACTCTCAGCCTGCCACTTTGTGAAGCCCATATCCTCGGTGTGTCAAGGCTCCAAACATCTTGAAGTCAATTTCATTTTCTGGAGGTACATATAGCGTTTCAGCTCCACCTCATGCTGAGATGTGATGGACTGAGATGCTCGGGTTTCTAGATTCCATTATGCTTTTATTGGCTTTTAAAGGCATCAGGTTTCCTCTGTCTGGAGCCGGGGAGGAGCTTCTCTCTCTCTCTCTCTCTCTCTCTCTGTGTGTGTGTGCCCGTGTGTGTACAATTAGCATCACACAGGCTAGCAAATACACAGCTCTGCAGGGCCCCAGGATGGGCTTAAGATTTCTGGGGAGATAAGTTTGCTTTGGTCAGATTTTCAGCAGTGGACTGACTGTTTTCCAATACCTGGAGCAAAACTCAGCCCATTGTTTTTTGGCACTGAAACACTGCACGGCTAAATCTAGGTACAAAATGCAGTGATGAGAGAAGCATTAAGCTCCTTTACTCAAGTAAAAGTAGCAGCACCACACTGCAAATATACATTAAAGGGAACAAAGTTCTGCATTCAAAATTTTACTGTAGAGACGCAATAAGCAAATGTTTGCTAGCAAGTTCCCAGGTGGCCAAAAAAAAAAGTATCTAAAAGTAATTAAAAGAACTGATTAGTGGCTCCCACAGATTGTTGTAATAATATAAATGAATTAATTAAATTATTATGGTTATTGTCGCGGATGCATTAATGTGTAAAGGAGACGTTGTAGCTGGTGGAGGTGGAATCTTATTTTAACAAATCAAATCTTGATTTGCATAGTAACTAACTGTAAGGTAAATGTCGTTGAGTGAAACATGCAGCATTTCCATGTGTAATGTAGTGGAGTAGAAGTGTGGAGAAAAATGAATGGTAATACACAAGTAAAGTTCAAGTACCTCAAAACTGTAGAGACAAAATGTGACAAAATAGTAGTAAAAAAACATTGGAGACAGTGTATTTAAACAATGAGTACACAGTGCATAGTATTTGTTAATGTGTCTGTATTCTGAGTGGGGATATATGGTTTGGATATACTTATAGTTAGAGTACCTGCAAATACTTGAAATGGATGCAGCCCGCAAGTACAGTTACAGTTTGAAACAAACTAATGTGTAGTGTAGTTTGAAATGTATCATTGCACTGCAGTATGGGTGGTGTCTCTTAAGTGCATGCATTTGGTAACAGTATCAGTTGACCTTGTGTGATGGGTAAAGCCTCTGAGTGCTAAAGTGTGTGTTTAAACATTGCAGGGATGTGGGATTGAGGTCAGGAGAAAGAGAGAGATGAATGAAGGGAGAGAGCAGGGATCAGCCTTAAAGTGACCCAAGGCTCGAGGTCATTCATTCACTTCAGAGGTTCAACCCCAAACGATCCACACCTAATCTCTCTTACCTGACCCTCGCAGAGGTCGCGCTTTCCCCTCAGACGTACATGAAACAGGCCTGGATTAAGGCGGAGTGATGAGCAGGGAGGATGCAGTGAAATGATCCATGAGAGACAGTTACGGGCATATTACAGGCAGAGAGCCTTCAGAGTGCAGCTGTAAAACTCAAATGTACAGCGGCAGTCATTCAAAAGAGACTGTGACATTCTCCACACAACTGGCTCAAAATAGCCCTGAAACCATTTACCGACAACAATAGTGATGACAGATTTAAGCAAGGCAAAACATTCGCTTTTTTCCAGCTTTTCAAAATGTGAGAATTTGCATATTTTTGTGAACTGAACATTTTTTTTGGACTGTAGGTGGGACAAAACAAGCAATTTGAAGACACCACCTTGTGCTCGGGGAAACTGTGATGAGCATTTTTAGCCTCATTAGTATCAGTATGGCCCCATGAATGGCAATGCTGCCACCTTGGTCCAGACTGAAATATCTTAAGTATAGGATGAATGAACTTTTGTGTAGATATACACGTTCCCCTCAGGATGAATCCCAGTGATTTTGGGGATCCCCTAACTTTTTATCTAGCATCCATCATCGGGGCCCAAATACCTGCAACCTGTATGTTGTATTTACTGCTAATTATCAAATGTTAGCATGCCAACACACCAAACTAAGATGGTGAGCATGGTAAACATACCTGCTAAACATCGTCATGTTAGCATCGTCATTGTGAGCATGTTTCCATTTGCACTTAGGTCCAATCACAGCGGTTTCTAAATACAATCTCACAGAGCTGCAAGGCTGTGGGCTCCTATTTTCTGATATTTTTTTAGTGCTGAAACATTTAGTTGATTTACTGAACAGCTGATTGACAATTTGACAACTGATTAATTGATTGAGGAAATATTCTTAACATTCTCTTGTTCCAGCTTCATATGTGAGGATTTGCTGCTTTTATGATTGTAAAATGAATGTCTTTGAGTTCCAGACGAAGCAAGCAGTTTAAAAACATCATCTATGCTTTGGGAATGTAAAATAGGCCTTTTATAATATTTTATAGGCTAAACAATTAATCAGTGTTTAAAAAAGTTATTACTCTATTAATCAATAATGAAAAAAATCCTTGCAGCCTGGGTTCAAAAGTTAACAGCTTTCCTCTGCTGTGCTGCTTTACAGTCTGAGCATCACTTGCAATTGACACATAAGCAGACTAAATGAAACCCCTCTCTCCTTAAAGGCTTTGATGTTCCTCTGCCAAAATCCCAGCTTTAGATCAACTCATTAACTATGCTCCTCCATGGAGTCAGACGGACAGACAGATGTTCGCCTGACCACCATAATGCTGCCTGCAACCCCTCTCAGACTGTTGTGTGTGCGTGTGTGTGTGTGTGCATGTAATCTGCCAAAGTGGTTTGTCTTTCAAATGAAATGACAAACAGCTCAGTCATTCATGATGAATAACTCTAATCTCTGTCATCTGTAACCCCCCCCCGTCTCTGTGTCTCTAACAGGGACAGACGTGGTCGTCGCCGTCTATCGATGACGAAGGCTCAACGAGAGACGAGTTCTACGATGATGAGGACCTCTACTCAGGCTCAGGCTCTGGCTGTAAGTGTGTGTGTGTGTGTGTGTGTGTGTGTGTGTGTGTGTGTGTGTGTGTGTGTGTGTGTGTGTGTGTGTGTGGGTGGGTGTTTCAGAGCGTGTGTGAGGTTACACATTCATGCCCTGGTTCTTTCAAACTCGACAGCTGCTGGGTTTCAATCTGCTGACCCTGAAGACCCGGCCCCCCTCCCTGCCTGTCCTCCAGTTATGGCCGTTGTATTCACCAGACTCACATGCACGAACATCACATGCACAGGATCACACAATTCAGACATGCCATTTGGCTTGACAGACAGGTTTTGATACAGATTTATTTAAAACACCTTTAAACACAGACACGCCCTTGCAAACAAGAAGCAACACAGGCTCGATTCCTTCAGATCTTATTTACTCTAATCAGATTACAGTACACACAGATTAGACGATCACACGCAAACCAGTAGTTAGTTGGGTGCGCGTATGTCTGCATTTGCTGTCTGCGTGTGTAGGAATTACCTACTTAACGTAAATCACGTTGGTGTAATTCAGGCTGATTTTCTGATCTGGCTCTTGAAGCTTGAGCGCGGCTCTCCTTATTAAGCATGACTCATTGAGGGCTGCCCTCAGTTCAGGCACTGCGCTAGTAGCGCTCGCAATAAATTACAATTCAGAGCAGGGGAGTGCAGCGCAGGCACCCCTGTGGTTGAAACAGCGGCCCAGCAAATTGCTTTATCTCGAACCGTGATACAGAGCTGTCTGATTGCAACGAAAAGGCTCATTTTCAACAGACGGATGCGCATTTTGTGCCGCTGCAGCTTCAAAAAGTGGCATTTTGTGGCGTCTGATATGTTTTACAGCAGCTGCATTGTTCGAGTCCATATTTCGATATCCTCTCCAGCACCTCTGTCAGCTTTCATGTCTTTGTGCCCGTAAATTCAATTTGTTTCTCTTTCAACCCAGGGAGCCTCACTGCTATAACAAAATGAAAGGTGGTATAATACTATTATGAGATTTAAGAAGAAAATGAATCACTCAGCACCACTGCCTAACTCTCCTCTCCTCTCTTCTCCTCTCCTCTCTTCTCCTCTCCTGCATGTTTCTTAGTGATAGGTAAGAGTGGTTTAATTTATTCATTTGTGGTTCTAGGCTGTAAAATGTGTAAATTAGTGGGTTTTGTATCATAAACCATGGCATCCCTCCCTGAGGAGGGTTCACCTCCCCTGTCTATCAGACACAGGGTCAGAGTAGTGGCTGGTGCTCAGTACACTGTTTAACAAGTTCTCCTGGCTGTAGGAAAACAGATCAGACATGAAAACATCCCTCACGGTTCTCGGATGAATAAGGCCATGGTGGCTTGGTGGCGGAGCGTTTGGTCCACCTGTTGGTAGAGAAAGGCCTGGTGCTAGTTGATTCGTTTCGTTGCTATTTGTTTGTGCTATCGATGTGTATTACCATGTCAGGTGTAGCCCTATTTATCCCGAATGAGCTCCTTGAAAGAGAACTGACTCAGTTGAGAAAGTCCACCCGTCGTTTCCAACAACAGTCTGTCTTGGTTGTGAAGACACTACACTGCAGTATGTTCAGACCCTGCGGAGACAGGTGCGAATGTATTTAAGTAATCCATTGCAAACTTTAGAGGTGTCATTCAAGGGAAGAATGAATATGGTTTCTACACAGTTTATGCAAGTTCTGGCAACATGAAATCTTTCAAGTGTGGCGACCCAGCAATCAGCAGGAGAAACATAACCGGTGACCCGCAACCTGCTACAAAGAGAAAGAAAACAACTGAGCATGATTGCTGTAATGTTAATGACAATGGTGTGGATGATACTGAGGTGCAGGCTGGATGCAGACACAGCGGACAGATCAGTCAGACAGCTGAGGCTGAGGGTCAGATCTCTGTAAAAGGTGAGTCACACAGAGAAAAGCTGAAATTGAAGATGAGGAAATGTTGATAGTGATGATAGTTTGTCACAGTTTTCTGATATTGTATCACAGGATAATCCGCATCACACTTGTCAAAGGAGATGAATGACTACTTTGAAACTTATGACCTATGAAACTTATGGCAGACAGTCTGTGGAAATAACAAGTTCATCAACTCGGCTATAAAGTTTGAAAATTGGTTGGATATGAAGAGCTGAACAAACAGAAGAGTTTTTGTTTAAAGAAGATTCTGTCTAAACCCAGGAAAGAAAATGTGGACAGAGTCTTAAATCATATATGTAAAAATGGGTGGTGCACAAAAAGTGCCTTTTTCTTGGAAAGGTTTTACTTTAGGTCTTTTCCTCTTTTCCGTCTTGTCTTCATAGAAAGTTTGTGGGAAGGAAGCTTAAATATAAATGAAGGACGGACTAGGGATAAGGTTGCTGGCTGAGCTGAGTAGAACTGAAAACATAGATCTGCTCTTACACGAGACACGTAGCTCAGCAGATAATGAGGTCGCGTGGGGAATGATCCGGACAGGTCCATAATTTTTCAACAATGCCACCAACCTCAGTGCACAGGTTCCCGATCTCTTCTCACAGCGCCTCCATTTAATAAATGTTACAAACGGGGCAGACACCAAATTGTTCAGGCAGCAATTTGAGATATAGCCTCTTGTTTTTTGCAAGTATATGGTCATAATTCTGGTGCTGGTTGTTTGAGGTTGTTTAAAAAACTGGATGACAAACTTACACAGTTCAATAGTAGCTCAGTAATAGTAGTGGGACGGGACTGGACTTGCACTACACATCCTATAGTCGATAGAAACTGCATCCACCGTCTTTTGGAAGAAACTTAACCCAACAGGCAGGCAGCATACATGGGTGAAAACTGTTGAGGGTAATGTGAGGGTTGCCAGGTTAGATAGGATTTATCTAAATGAAAAATAGAGCAACAGGTCGTTTAAGTTCATGATATTGCTGTTGGATTTTTAGATCATCATTTGGTAACGGCAGATTTTTCAGAAGTACGATCTCAACGCTGTCCCTTCTGACATTTCATTGTGCAGTTAATTCATAACGAGGCTTTCTGTCAGTTCATCTCTGACTTCTGGAGTCGGTGGAGGCTGAGAAAAGAAGATTTTGAAAACTTGGTGGGAGGTTTGAAAAACACAAATTTGAATTTTCTGTCAGCAGTAGACAAAACACACAGTAGCCTTAGAGAGAATTTGTGCTGAGCAGTTGGAGAAGGAAATTAAGATATTAGAGGATGAAATAATCATAGGCAATGTTAGCAATAGCAGGACTTGGGAGATTGGGAGAAAGGCTCTAGGTAGTTTTTTACATGAAGAAGCAAAGGGAGCTTTAATTAAACCTTGGATTTCTACAATAAAAGACATAGATGCTCCAACTTGTTTTTTCTTTAAGCTTGATAGAAAAGTTAGAGAAAATGATGTGATGATGCATCTTAAACTTCTAAATGGGACAACGACAACTGATCCATTAGAGATGAGGAAGCTGGGTGAGGCACAGGTAACTTCACTAGAGTCCCTAATGTCCTTTGACACAGCTGTCAAACCAGCTGTGGCAAAGCCTGGGTTCTGGGACTTTACCAGTGAGTTGTACACAGACTGTTTTAATGCTGTTACCAGAGACTCAAGGAGTGTATGAACACTGTTGTACAATATTGTCAGACGTACTGTGTCCCTGAATGCATGATCATGGATGAATGGTTTCTAATAGAAGACATTATTGATATATCTCAGCTCCAAGAGTTGGACTTCTATAGTTCTTCTAGAGTTCTTTTTATAGATCAAGAAAGGGTTGATCATCATTATTTGTTTCAAACACTTGAAGGTTTTTGTTTTGGAGAAAAGTTTACTTCATGGATTACATTGTTGTACCTTGGAGCCAGCTTTCTGTTAAAAGTGAGGGGTGGTCTCAGCCGACCAGTCTTTGTTCAAAGGGGAATCAGACCGGGTTGCCCCTTATCTGGGATGTTGTATTCTCTGGCCATTATGCCTTTTTTAAATCAGTTCAGGCAGGGTCTCTCAGGGCTAACCCTTTCTGAGAACAGTGTTTGTCAGTATACGCTGATGATGTCACAGTTTTCTTAACAGGTCAAAATGATGTAAAAAATTCTTGAGCAGAAACTGGCGAAAGTCAATTGTTCTAAATCTGAGGGTTTATTACTGGGGGAGTGGAACAATAAAGAGAAGCCAACATTACCAGCTGGGCTTCAGTGGAACACAGTATTTTTGGGCAGTGAAAACTTTCTAAGTAAAAACTGGGGGGGGGTTTAGTTGAGAAGATCAGTGGCCCGATTGTCTAGATATACTTGGATCCAGCCCCAGTTGTCCTATAGGGGGAGAGCTTTGGATGTTAATAACTTGATTGCCTCAATGTTCTGGCACTGGTTAACAGTTGTAGAGCCTCCAGACAGTCTCCTGAGAGAGGTGCGGAAGAGGCTGGTGGAGGTTATCGCTGGACCAAATCTGATGTTGTTCCTACCCATGGTGGAAGTTGGCCAGGGCCTGATTGACCTCCGCAGTTGTTTTACAGCTTTTCGCCTTCAAACTGTGCAGCACCTATTGTATCATAAACAGCAGCTCTGGAGTAAAACAGCATCTGTGTTGCTTCGTAGGGTCATCAACCTGAACTACGATATGCATCTGCTTCTTCTGGAACTTGCTAGCATGGGATTTACAACCACACCTCTGTGCTTGGGGAACACTTATACAGCGGGTTATAGAATAGGGGCTCCTCCCCTTTCCTGCCATAGATCAGTGGGCAGTCCCTCTTGGCATTTAAAACTGTAGGATGCTCAGCCCTGTCAGTGTAATGAAACCTCTCATAAGAGCTGGACTCACAGCTGCCATTTTGAGCCAGGAGACTGGTTTTAAATCTCTGCGTCTGATGGAGAGATTGTTGAAGGAGGTGATCAGTGCACTTCCTGGTTTTTTCAGAAAGGCATTCGAGGCGGAGTCTGTGGAAGATCAACCAGTTATGTGGCCTGATTTCCCATCTTTGTCTATCCACAGTGGAATGGGGCAAGAGGAAGAAAACAGGCCCTATCTGTCTTTCAAACAACCAGTACTACAGGACTTCATAAGAACATCAAAGAAAGCCTTGTAAGCAGTCACTGTAAAGGTTCTCAACAGAATATCACTAGCACACAGGAGTCGAGGTGGTTGTGTGTGTTGACACCAGGTTCATCTCCCAAAGGCAGCTGGAGGTCTCTGTTCAAACCCCCCATCGAGAAAGGCACTGCGGATCCCCAGTGGAGGGTGGTACATGGGGCTGTGGCTACAAGCATGTGGCACATATACATAATGAGGAATCTCTGCAACACTTGTATAGTCTCTCTGTTCTTCAACGATTGCTTTGAGGTTTAGGAGGGATTTTGGAAGACAACCTGTTTGTTTTTGGTCCTAGGTACATGGCAGCAGAACGCAGAATTTTCACCTTGGCTAACTTCCCGGTAGGTCAGGCAAAAATGAACATCTGGCTCACTAGAAGGGAGAAGATGAAAGGCACAGGGTCTATGGATGCTACACTCATGGTCACATACTATAAAATGATTTCTAACTCAGAAGAATTTGTTTGTTGTGTTTTGGGATATGGAGATGTTTTATGCACTGTAGTGCACCAATCTCTTGTTAACTTCTAAATCACAGAATGTCTGTTTTTCCATTTGTTTCTTTGCATGTTGGGGGAAGGGTGTTATACAATAAGTAAAAGACACTGCATTGATTTTTCTGTGTTCTTTTAATGTAGTTGATAAATTTGACCATTAAAGGATTTGTTAGAGGTCAAAGGTCTCTTCTCTTCTCTTCTCTTCTCTTCTCTTCTCTTCTCTTCTCTCTTCTCGTCTCGTCTCGTCTTGTCTCGTCTCGTCTTGTCTCGTCTCGTCTCATTTTTAAAATACACTCCTACCAGCATTTTCAGGTCATTTTTCTTAAGATCCACGCTAAAGAGCCTAAACGAAAAGAAAGAATTCTTACTAACAACAAAACAAAACATCACAGTCAACATCTGGTCAGGAGAGACAGGCAGACAATTCAGTCTCAGCTGGTTAAACCTCCAATCTGTTCTGTTTTAATACAGCTAAACTCACAATTCACTGTTATTGTTCTCATTTACATGTTTTCTCTCTCTGTTGTCGAGTAAACGAGCAGAAAATAGCAATTTAATTGTGCTTCTGATTGCTGCGCTGAGTCGTCAATAAAATCACTACTTTATGATGCGGAAGTCATTTAGAAAAACAAACATAGCTGTGCATGTGTCATTGGGTATATTGACAATTAAAATGTGTGATCACAGAGAAAGCTAGAGGTGACAGTTGTCTTCCTCAAGGAGCAGTCCACCAATTTTAGTCATTTTACCACAGGGTTATCTTGGGTTGGGTTTGTAAACCTGAAATGCATAACAGAAAGTCTGATTACAAACTGGAATTGTAGAGTTTGAAAGACATGGGTATTCATCAGGCAGGGAGTGTCTGATGAAAACATGCTATCAAGTTGCATTATGGGAAACGTCTTTTGGGGACATGACCTATTATTGGGACTAAAATTCAGGTAATCTTTGCCTCAGCTGCATCGGATTTGACATGTTTTATCTTGTGACAACTTTATAAAAATGCATTACCTCATTAGAGTGGTGCCTCTTTGATTTCACTGCTGCACAGCCCCAACCAGGCTTATGTCATATTTTTCAAATGTAGCCATCTTGGTCCATCATGGAGGGCTTGCATGAACATGGTACATACAGTACCATGTCAAGTAAAGACAAAAGTACTCCCCATACTCCCTATTAGCTACATAGTGGATTATACATATATATATATATATACTGTATGTACCACATATATATATGGTGGATTGAAAAAGGGAATTTGTTTTATGTTAACAAGCCCACAGTGCAATTAACTGCATTTCACAGACCTAAAAAATAACACACCTGTTAGTGATGATGCGAAATGATGATGACTCATCAGTGTCTGAAATCCCAATTTACTGCTCAATAGAGACTAAACTAAACAGTGTGAAATGAATGAAACAGTGATAGACTCAGTTTCTGGTTTACTGTGGGTGCGTGGGCAGGTAGGTTGAGTGGTTGCGAGGTTGTGTTCTACACTGAATTAATTAATTGATTGATTGAAACGTTACATGTTTTAAATTTTTGACAGCTTTGCTTTGTTTTTTTAATTGATTCACTTTTAAATCCGCAATATTCTCTGCTCCTCCTCAGTTCCCGAGATCAGTATGAGGCCGACGTCAGCGGGCGTGTCCTTCACCACAGAAGAGCCCCTACTCCTCTCCACCACTCAGGCCACTAGCCCCGCCCCCTCCGCCTCACCTGCGGCTGAGCCCAGCCCCAACCCCGAGGACCCCACCGCCACCCCGTTGCCCACCGAGGCCGACGGAGAGAGCGGTGCATTCTGGGAGAAAGAGCTAGAGAAGGAGAAAGAGAGAGAGAGGGAGCTGGAGACAGAGAGGCAGAGGGAACTGGAGAGGGAGAGGGCGAAGCAGTTGGAGAGGGAGAGAGAGAGGGAGAGAGAGAAGGAACGGGTCAGAGAGATGGAGAGGGAGAAAGAGCGCGAGCGAGAGAAGGAACGCGAGAGAGAGCGAGAGAAAGAGAGAGAGAGGCAGAGAGAGCGTGAGCTTGAAAGAGAGAGAGAGCTCGAGCGAATCAGGGCCGCTGCTGCCGCCCAGACCACCACCGCCCCGAGGTCACCTGCTTCCGCTCCTGTGGTGACCACCAACCCTGCAACCAGCCCTGCAGAAAGTGCAGCACCCTCTGCTGGTTCGGATGACCTGAGCACCACAGAAGAAGAAGAAGAAGAGGACGTCTACCTGTCACCTGAGCCCACCTCGTTTTACCCGGGCTTTGACATAGAAACCACCACAGAAGAAGACACACCCACCACAGCAGAGACCACACCTGAAGCCACAACAGCAGCTCCTACCACCACCACCACTGTCAAGACCAGGGTCCCCTTCAGGCCCAAGGTTCCCATGACGACAGCCACCCAGGTGATGCCAACAGGGAGAACGACCCGCCCACAGCAGCCCACGACTACACAGGTAGGATTCAAAATGTGGCCACCACCTTCAGATTCTGACTGTGGTACCAAAAGGATATTTTTCTTAAGGAATTTAAACATGTGTCAACAAACCCTAAAGCTACCTTAAGGAGTTGTTCAGCATTTTGTGAAGGACTCTTGTTTGCTTTTTTGCCAGGAGTTAGATGAGAAGATCAATACCACTCTTTTCTCTCAGAGTGAAGTATAGACCTAAAGGCTGGAGTCGATCAGCTTAACTTAGCATAAAGACTGAAAGCAGGGGAAACAACTAGTCTGACTCTGTCCAAGGCTCAAAACCCCCACTCAACAGCGCCTCTAAAACTCATCAGTTAACACAAAATAACTCCAGGGTTTTACTGTGTAACTGGTGAGAAAAAGAAGTGTTGGCAAGTGTATTGGTCTTTGGTCAGAGCGGGGCTAGCTCTCTTTTATGCAACGCTAGGCTAATTGTCTTTGGGTCCGAACTATTTTTTACTATTATATAAAAAGCCAAGGTTCTTAAATGATATGACTGGAGGTAGTCTGTTTTTTGTATTGTGAACAAATCCCATAAAAAAGACCAAAACCAACATGATTGTCAACGTAATACTTTCACTACTGAATACTGTCAGACATCTCTACCTCATCTGTGACTATCAAGCCATTCATTACCACTGATGCCTTTCATCTTTAAAGGCAGATCACAAGTTAAAGGGTTTATGGGAATGTTTTGTCCAGGGCGATTTCCTGAAACTGCAATGGTTTGGCCCATTTATTTTTATATAGTTTTTGGACAATGGTGGAGGTCTTTGGTACAGAACAACAAGATATATCAGGCTTTGGCTGCATGAACAGTACTTGTCAGTGGGATCAATTCATTGTTGATTTAGCTCTTTTTGTGGGATGAGAATAGAATAGAATATCTTAATGTTAATGTCTTATTTGTCTAAACACAAGCAGCTGTACAAGAACTTTGCCTGAATAAAATACAGTCATATATTCATTTCTGTCTATACCAATAAACTATTGAGGTTTGATACCCAGCCCGACTTCTGACTGCCTCTTTAACACTGACAGTTTAATAATTTACAGACCAGTAATTTCTATGATTGGTGTGCATTTGTTTATTTGCAGCAGCTCTGCATTAAAGCATGATGCATTTAGATTTGTCTGGTTTTCCACATTGCAATTACGCTGCCAGATTTTATGAAGTGCGTATATGTGTTGGATAATATGCAACTTTCCACCAGTCAGAATATACAGGGGCTCATTGTTTCAAATGGGAACATGTGCCATGGAAAGTATAACGGCTCCATGAAACAAATGTGATTACATCAAATGTAAATTTCCTGTCGTTAGTCTCATTTTTCTTTCTCTGTCTCAGGAGAGTAACAACGAGGTGGGCGCTGCAGGACCAAGTGGAGATTTCGAAATCCGTGAGGATCGCCGCAATGACCTTGGTCGCGGTGTAATGCCAGGAGATCCTGATCTGGTCGGCAACACAGTGGACGGAGGAAGCTCTGCCGCCCAGCTGCCACAGAAGAACATCTTGGAGAGAAAAGAGGTCTTGATAGGTAAGAATATCTTTGTTTTGATTTTTTGTATGTCATGTCATGTCTGAATTTTTCTCCTGGTTGTTCAGATTTATGTCTGTCTGTCTCACTGTTTGTCCGTCTGATCCATTCCCCTCTGTTATTTTGTCTTTCTGCCAAATAAACCTCTTGGTAATTACCTTGTAGATTGACAGATTACATTTCCCGTTGCCTCCTGTATTCTTTCCCTGCTTTTTGGGAGCTGCAAATATAAACTTTGTATTACCTCACATTCACGTAGTACAGATTCATCACCATAAGTGAATGTGCTACTTATCCCCGTTTGACCCGTTGAGAACAAGCAATCCTCTTCTTGGGTTATCCAACCCCTCCTTTCCCCCCTCTTTTTCTCATCATTTTCCCTCTGGGTAAATCCAATTTCTTTTCAAGTGCCCCCTCTCCTCATCCCAAAGAGCTGTTGTAGAAAGTGAGGGAGCAGCCAACTTGCCTGACCTGACTGGCTCTCTGTCTCTCCTTCAGCTGTTCTGATTGGTGGATTGCTGGCGGTGGTTTTCGCTGATTTCCTGGTCATCGGTAAAGAGCAGGAGGCAACAGACTTTAGAGTAGACTGTCTGTGATAGAACCAAATTACAACTACATGTTGAGCTGATAGCTTCATGTATAGTGCTGTACATACATGCTCGTGCTATTCATTTTGGATTTTCTAGTGGAGTAACATGTTAAGGAAGATGCAAGTATTTACCATCTTTGACCTTTCACACTGATTCAGAAGACTTTTGGATTTTGATTTTTAAGTTCTGATGAAACACTCAATAATCATTCAGGCTTATTTTGACCCCGCCAGATATTTCAGATCATACGGGACTTTGATTGTTTGTTTTTATCTAATCTATCATAATTATTTTAATCTATACAATGCTTCAGTACCATGTTCGCCATCTTAGTTTAGCATGTTAGCATGCCAACAACTGCTAATTAGCACTAAACACAAAGTAAAGCTGAGGCTGATATCATTGGTTTTGATCATAAACCAAAGAACTAGACCAATTAAATTTTTTGTCTTGATGATGTTCATGATGTTAAGGGAAAAGTAATGAGCTCATCAAGGTTTGTGCGACTCATGCTGAGCAGGGGCATTAATGGCCATCCATCCAATAGTTGTCAGGACATTTAAGCCTGGACCAAAGTGGTGGACTGATGGATGGACACTGCCCCCACTTGAGCAGTTTCTCATGTCCAACATTACAAATGTCTTCCTCAGTAAAATCAGAGATGGGAAATGTACATATTTATGCAAAGTATAAGGCAAAAACTGCTTTATCCGACAAAAAGAATATGACTCCTTTTTAAAAAGGTTCAAGTGGATGAAATGGTGTGACAAAAAGGTTCATTACTTTTGCGGTTCTGACAGAGCATGGTGGTTATAATATTTTAAATAGCCCAGCTAGTGTATTTTGATATTGGCAGTAATGGGATAAACACAGTGAACACCTCCCACGTAGTGAATGGAAACAAATTGTTCCTCAAGCATTTAGGAAAATAACAGTTTGTTCTCCGTTTTGGCATCGATACCAATTACTTTAACGAGGGAAATTTTTTTTCCATTTGATAACCACACATTAATCTATTGCTCACAGTAAGAGTTCATTAGCGATGTGTGCAGTGGAAAGTGGGAGAATGCAGCTGCTGTGGATTGGTTACAGCAGCCCCATCAGGCTAAACTACTACGTAGCACTGCAGGGCTGCAATTTAGCACAAAACTGTTGGCAACACAGAACGTATGTTGGCACATTCAGGCCCATCAAGCTTCACTTAGCAGCCAGGTGATAGTGATGCTGTGGTAGCTTTGCTTTGCTTTCAGACTAGGGTTGTTTGTAAAGCAGCGCATGTTTGTAGTCATGTAGTCCACTGCAGGATGTAACAGTGCCTCTAATGGTGTTTTAGTGTTTGTTTATGTGTATTTCTGTGTGTTTGTAGGATCTAGACTGTTATGTTCTGGAAAGGTTTTAAGATATCTACCCTGTTTTTCTGTCTTTCTTCAGCGGTGATAGTTGGAGGCGTGGTAGGCGCCTTGTTCGCCGCCTTCCTGGTGATGCTGCTGGTGTACAGGATGAAGAAGAAGGATGAGGGCAGCTACACGCTGGAGGAACCCAAACAGGCCACCGTCACTTACCAGAAACCAGACAAGCAGGAAGAGTTTTACGCATAACACTCGTACGCCAGAGAGACACCGCACACCGAGGGAGAGAGAAAGATGGAGAGACAGAAGAGAGAAAGATACTCTAAGCCCCCGTCCTCCTCCTCTTCCTCCTCTTCTTCGTTGCTCCCCCCTCATCTGCTCGCCTCTCCTCATCCTTCTCTCCACTCGTCTCCAAAACACTTGAGAGCGCCTTTCTCTCTGCGGACTTGGAACTTTCTTTTCAATGAAAATGAAAAAGAGGACAAAAAAAAAAAAAATCCAAATATATTCTGAAAAAATAACACATACACACAAGATGTTTTTAAAGTAAATGTTGTTATTAATATTCTACAGATTCTCTTGTTCTGTATGTAATAATATGATTATTTTGTAGAAAAACAAAACAAAACACAAGCGCTTAACCTGTGTTTTCCAACACAAAAAAAAAAAGTTCCTCTTCTGTTTTTATGGAGCGAATGAAAAGGCTTAAAAGAAAGAGGAGAGGAGAGGGGTGGAGCGAGCTGAGCGAGACACAAAAGAAAAAAAGAGCGTTTGGCTTGACTCTGCCCCTCACCCCCCCTGCCCCAAAAATACACAGAGCGTCTGGTTGGCCGCACAGAGCCCAGAGTCAAAGGTGAGAGGAAAGGTCTCTTTTGTGCCTTCCATCCCTCTGGTGCTCAAAGACACGCAAACGCACATCCATACAGCCACATATAAACACACGCTTACACACACACACATGCATACACACACACTTGTATCTGCTTGAAGGTGGCTCTGACCTCTCTCTCTGTGCTCGGCCAACCAGAAAACGGTGCTCAACCTTCGGCGTGTTCCACAGCGTCGAGGAGCCGCTGTGGAAACTCTGGCTGGTCGCATCGAAGTTTGCTCCGCGGCCCGTCTGCTCCTGTAAGCTGTACAAAGACTAGTTACGGATAGTAATAATAATCAATAATATATCAATGTTTTGGGCTGGATGGTGAACAATAATAATAATACCGTAATAATAATAATAATACTTAAGCAGGAGGATGTCAATTTAGCAGTTTAAAAAAGTTTATATGTAAATATTGTATCCTTTCTGGCATCACTAACCATCTGCATGATCATGAAGAGTTTTTATTCATCACATCTGTCATCACTTTAGATGAGCTGTGCTCTCATCAACCACATGCACACACAAACACTTACACACACACACAAACACACACACACACACACACACAAACACACACACACACATACAGCGATATGCTTTCTGTGCATTTAAACACACCACATGGACTTTAAATATACTGTAGATCATATCATCCAAACACATATCAATCCCATCATCGTCGTCATCATCATCATCGTCATCATCGTCATTGTGATAGTCATCACTTTTGATACGAGTGAGATCAGGTGGTTTCAATATGTTATTGATTAGTTATCGATCAGTTGCTGGTTGGTTTAGAGTTTGGTCTGTTTGTGTAAAAGCACAACTACGTGTCCAATCATCATTTCATCCGATACTCCCACCCTCACCTCCACCCTCCCCCACCCAACATCACGTCATCTGCTATCCCCCACCCACACATCCTTTGCATGCCTCACTTTGTTTTTCTTCCATCATTGGCTCTCTGTTTGGGGATGGGAGGGGCCTCTGGGAAGCGTGAGGGGCTTTATTGAAGAAACAGGAAGTGTGAATCTGTGCAGGAAGTTGCTCCCACATGCACTAATTCAGTCAAAATTATAACTTATATCATAATTTAAAGCGTCGGTTATGAAAGGACTTTGAATCAGTGCTTATGGTCTCAACTTTAACCTGCGGGACCATTTTGGGGTAGGGGTAATGGGTTTAGGATTCGGTTTGGGAAGGGGAATGTGAGGAGACAGGAGGGCTGTGCTTCTATCTAAGAGATTGTAACAATAACCACACCAGTGCGTCTGGGCTAGTAGCTTCTATTATACTCAGTACTGTAGAACAAAAATGCATGGGAGTCAAAACTATACTAGTCTGGGTGTGTGTGGATGCCTGTCTGTGTGTTTTTGTCTGTGTGTATGTTTCAAAGAAAAAGAGGGGTGAGTTAAAGTTGGAATGTACTGTGGTTGAGTGTGTGTTTACCTACTCCAGCAGTTCTCACGCTCTTCCACAGACAGGTAACACACCTCTTCCACTCCTGTGTGTGTGTACGTCGCCTGCCCCCTCGCTAGTGTGTGAGAATATGTATGTATGTGTGTGTGTGTGTCTCTAAACTTCATCTAAACCCGCCACCTGTGTGTATGTGTGTGTGTGTGTGTGTGTGTGTGTGTGTGTGTGTGTGTGTGTGTGTGTATGCCCGAGTGCTTCACCTTGGTATTTCACAGCAGACTCTTGTGTACACTGACTAGCCTGTCGATGTGTGTGTCTGCGTGTGTTTAGTCTGTTCACTGCTGAATGTGGGGCAGCTGGTCCCTCACAGTGGCTTTCACACACACTGACTGTGTCTTTTCACTGTCTGTCTGTCTGTCTGTCTGACTCTGTCTGTCTGTCTCTCTGTCGCAGGACAGACAGACAGACAGGCAGCACGCCACTTTCTCACAGGCAGGAATGATCTTAACATGTACTGTCTTTTCTAAAGTGACTGTCAAAGTGTAAACATGTGCGTTTGTACCCATATAAGCCTGCGTAGCCAAATAAGATGTGTGTGTGCGAGTAAGGGAGAGAGAGAGAGAGAGGGTGAATTTGTATGTGTGTAAGTGTAGGTATGCGTGTGCAAGTGTGTGCGTATGAAGCCTAATGGAGGCTACACTACTCTATGTTTGCTGTTCCCATTCCTGTTTTTATACATTTGCATTTTTTTAAGGCTGAGTTTCTGTCATTGGCTGAGTGAGCGAGAGGAGGCAGATCCTCCACGCCACCGCCCTGTCACTAATCTGCCACTCTGTTCCAAATAAAAAACCTGATTGGGTAAATCTCTCCTCTTGTCTTTTTTAAGTAAGAAAATAGCAAATAACAAAAGACCAACTTAGTTTGGTTTGATCAATAACTCAAAAATTGAAGAACAGTCACATGACACTCCCAATATGCACTTTGTTTAACACGTTTTTTCCCCCATTATTATTACCAGCAGTGGAACGTATCTTATTACAACTACTCTATCTCCCTATTGATGTCACCTGCAGCTATAACTCAAATTAGATTAAACACAACTTGATTTAAAATGTATGCCCTGTGAGGATGATATGAACTAAAAGAATGCTGATTTTTGAAGCAGGATTGTCCCGATAAAGTTGGGCTAAAATATTAGAGCAATGCAGAGCCCACTAAGGTCTATATTGTACTTTAGTAACATGCATTTAGTTAATATGCCGTGAACCTGCCTGTGGTGGCCAAGGTAATCCAGCTTTGTTCATTAATATAATTTTGTTTTTTTTATATATAAACACTTTGTATAGTGTCTTCCAAAATCAGCAATTCCACCTTTACCTCTTGATGAAGCATTGTAGCAAGAAGGTCCTGGGTTTGAACTGGGCCTGTCAGTGAGGAGTTTGCATGATTTGATCTAGTTTCTTTTTAAACACAGTTCAGTTTGGGTTAACTGGCAACTCTGAATTGCCCTTAGGTTTGATTGTGAGTGTGGTTATTACTGTATGTGTCAGCCCTGTGATAGACTGATGACCTCTCCAGGTCTTCCCTGATTTCTGCTGGGACACGCTCCAGCCCCCTGTGACCCTGCCTAAGGATAAGCAAGTATAGATAATTGATGGAAGGACTTTAAAAAATGGCAGGAATGTCATAGTAAGTGACAATTATACTATAATGGCCCAATCACAAGAATACTGCAGTTTAGGAAGCTCTTTTCATTCACAAAGCAAACTGTGAAAAAAGAAGCTTTTATGTAGCATGTAATGAAATCAAATCAAAATATTGCCAGAATACCCTGTTGACCTTATCACCAGTTATACCAGGTAGCCTACTTGTAAAACTCACAACTACTCTTGATTCTAAATGAGTAACATTTTAGTTAAGCGCCATTGATTTGACTTCATTAACAACACTCTCACCACCCCCTAATTAAAACTACAGTTAATTTCTACATGGATTAATGTGAAGCCATTGATTTAAAAAGTTGGTTCACTCAAAATACAAAAAATATATTTTCTCACTATCCTCTAGTTGTATGTAGAGGAGCAGTTAATTTTTTTATGTATATGTCCAATTTTAAGATGTCTGTCTCTGACATTTCTGCTTTCACATTAATCCAATTTGTGTCTGCACCTCAACAATAAAACATGTTTTAATCCAGAGAACAGACTATCAACATTACAACTTCTCTTGGTAGAGAGTACTGTAAAACTGTCATTGTGGTCTTTGGATTATCCAAAGTAATCAGGACATTGTTGCTGGAAAGACACACTACTGTTGAATTATTTAAATGTAATTTTTCAATGCTGTGAGCATTATAAATGAAATTCTATTCCTCTCCATTTTGCCGCTGTGGAGGAAGAAATCTTAGAGATACATATCTCAAAACCTGGACAAATGATCTGCATGGCCAGTATGTTTCTTGAGCAAACTGACTCTTTAAATTCTTGGTCTGTACTGAGACTCCCCTCTGAGTCCCAGGTTGTGTTCACTGGGTCACTCCGGACTCAGCAGTGTTTGGTCAAACCAGTGGATAAAACAGGCTGCTCAGATTGGAAATATATTTTAGTAACGCACATTCAAAAGAACTCACATGTAGACATGAAGTCTCGCTCCGCTGTTATCACACACCAGCCTTTGCGTGGCCTACATACCATTTCTAACCCACTGACATTACACGCAACCCTGTATGCCTCGATGCTACATCTGACAGAGCTACTGTGTATGTAGCTATAAGCATGATCACAGCCACTTAACACCCCATTTGCACTTGCTGAACTCAGTAAACCCTCATGGGAGAAACAGTCTGAGATGTTATAATTCTTAAGTCATCACATAAAAATGTACTTATGAAATAATTAGATAAACTGACATTGGGGATTTGTGAACACACAAGAAAGGGCATTATTCTAAATTGGTCTTTAGTTCACATTCTTAGCATCATACCAGATGAGACCAAAGTCAGTTGAAGTGGAGGAGTACTGATGGATCTGCAGATGGCCTTCCCTTGATCCAGAGAAGACAACAAGCTGTCCTGGCCTTGGGTAGAGGGCTGCTGATATGGAAATTTTGCCTTTACACAGAGGATGTGGGGGGGTTGCGTGTGAATCTACTTCTGTTAGGGAGGGGTAGAACAGAAGAATGAAGGCTCTACCCTTGCGTTGGGGT